AGGAAAATTATCCCATCACTGACTTAGAGTGTCTAGCATTTGTTTGGTCAATAAAGCATTTTCATCATTATCTTAGTTGACCATTCACTATTGTAACAGATCATACTACTTTAAAATGGCTAAAAACCTCAAAAATGCCAAAAAGAAGACATGCTAGATGGATCATAAAATTACAACAATATCATTTTACTATTGAATATAGAGTAGGAAAACATAATGCAAATGCTAACGCATTATCTCGCATGTATGATGAAAAAACTGCTAAATGTTTCATTATTGATCTTACTGAAACAGATATAACTGATGATGAGGATGAAAACATTAGTATAAAAGAAGATATAAAATGGCATATTTCTTCTCTTAAATCTGGAGAAAGTGATAAATGGTTTGAAGAGGAATTGTCTCGACAATACTCTAACACTGTCTTAATTACTGTCATTGGGTATAAATCTCCTGATAATAAACTAAATGAAATCTACTGTAAAAATATAAAGATTAAACAAGTAATCGCTAGACAACCTATCACCAGAGGAGAATCACAATGCATTTTTTCATGTGATACTGAAAACCATCATATTCACACATATTGTAAAGCATGCAAGAAAAATTTATTGTATGGAATTATCATTCATGATTGTATTATTGAATATAGTTTAGAAAAAATACAATCGAACTTGAATCCAGAATATTTAATTAATGACCTCTGGTGGGAAGAACCTCTCTTAATATAACATGAAAACCTTCGTATACAATTACATTTCACCTTGGTGACCTTGATAATGCACTTCTTTTCCCCTCTTATTAAATTAAATTATTAATATATAATATAAAAAATTAAGTGAAAGCGAAAGTGTTTACAGTGTGATAAACAACTTAAATTCTTAAACATGAAAGAACAACAATATAATCAACTATTTAATTATTTAACTAACCAAATATACCTCACTACCTTTAATCAAACACAACAACACAAATTAAATATACTATCAAAACATTATATTATCAAACATAATTTACTATATAAAATTAACAAAAATAACCCAAGCAACCCAATTAGA